CGGCTACAGACCGGCCGCAGGCTGGGGAAGGGAGCCCCCTGGGAGCCGGGGAGGGCCAGGCCTGGCTTGAGCAGGGGCCACCTTCCCTGAGACCTGATGGAAGGGTGGCTCCCCATCCTTCTCACCAAAGGCCCCCTCTCCCTCTTCCCTCCTTTGAGCTAAGCGTTTGGAAAGCCATCCTCCTCCTCCTCCCAGGCCCAGCTGCCACATCTGGCTGACCGCTGGCACTGAGCAGGTGGCAGATAAGCAGCTGGGGAGTGGCCACGGTGACCACAGCTCAGAGCGGCTTCCTGAACCGGAAAAGGGGCTCGAGGACCAGGAGCTGGGCCCCTTCGCAGGGAGGCCTGGTCTCGGTCCATGGTGGTCGGTGGCTCTGGGACCTAAGATAGAATCCACCCTGTCACTTGCTACCTGAGGGATAGTCGTTGGAGAGGTCACTCCCGTCTGGGACCCCAGTGTCCTCACTGGGCAGTGCTGTGGGTTAGAGAAGGCAGCCTGTCTGCTTCAACCTGCGGTATCTGGGAGGGGGCGTGTCTACAGTCATTTTCTGTTTAGTCGGGGATGAAGTTGGTCCTGGGGACACTAAGGAAGCCATGGGGGTGGGACTTCGGGGTGGAGGGGGGTGGCAGGAGCCCCAGGATGAGAGGCGGGGTGCAGTGAGGCCTCAGCCCCCCCCCACCCCCAGGGGAGGGTGGGAGGGAGTTGTGTGTGCCCCCCTGAGCCAGGCCCAGGCCCGAAGGAGGTGGGGTGGATCCTGGGATGGGAGGAGAGCACCGAGGCAGCGAGAGCAGACGGTTTGGGTCTCTGGTTGGTGCCCTGTCTCGGGGAGATGGGCGGGCTTTTCCGCTGCAGGGAGAGGCCGCAATGCTTCACCCTGTGGCGGGGGCCCACTTAGCTGCTCCCCTAACCCTCAGGATACCCTCAGTCCCGGCAGGCAGTGCAGCACCTCCTTAGGGAACCCCAAGTGTGATGGGAGAGAGACAGCCTTGGCCTGGTCTGATGAGGGCTTCAAGGCCCCAGCACCCATTCCCAGGAGAGCCCTCATTCTGGTGGCAGCAGCACAGCCTCTGCCTTCAGTCGGTCCCCAGTCAGATGGGGGGGGGGGTAGGTCCCCCTTGTGGGGAGCCTGCAGTCTGACATTGGCTCCCACACAACCTTCCTCCATGACCTCTGGCTCAGGCGGAGGGGCTGTTCAGTTGGGCTGAGCCAGGTGTATATGTGACGCTTCCTTGTATTGGGCTGGGGGGTGGGAAGAGGATGGGGGTACAGAACATGGTGGTTCCGGTGGCAATTGCCCTGGGCCAGGAGACAGGCAAGTGGCGCCAGGCGCAGGGCAGGGAGGAGTCTCAGCTGCTGGCAACAGGCAGGCACCGGCACAGCTCCCCGGGCAAGTCCAGACGGGCTGGTGGGGGGACTTAGTCAGCGGCGCGGTTAAAGCAAAGAAAGGTGGTGGCTGGGGGAGGGGTGGGTTCTGCCTCTTGGGGGGCACTCATAGAGCCCTCCCAGATCGCACCCCACTTTCCAAGCCACCCTGAAGGAGGAGGTCCCCCTGAGAGCTGTGTTTACCCTCTGCCCCTCTACTCGAGCCTCTGAAGGGTTAAGTGTGGGCTCGGGGGCAGAGGGACCCTTCAGGAAACGGAATTTGATTCACTCGCTGGGTTGCCCCTTCCCCTGCAGTGCATTGTACTTTCTCGCATATACATTTCAGGTGTCAACATGGTGACTCACCCACCCTTGGGGCAGGACCCCCCCCCATTGCCTAACCTGGTCCCTCTTCCCACCCCCAAGTCTGGCAGCTCCCATTCCGGAAACGGCTGTCAGGACCTGCCAAGGGCTTAGGGGCTGGAATGCTAGTGGACATGGCCACATCTGGATCTCATCCCCAGCCCCCATCGGGGGATTGGAGCAATGTGGGGAAATGCCCGGGACAGCTCTGTCTTCAGCCCGGCCTGTCCCTCGCCACCCCTTGCAGCCCTTCCCCACTGCGATGGTCCGGTTCACCGCCACACCTTCAGCTGATGAGTGGGGTCATCTGAGGGCTCAGGCTGCCCTGCCCAGTTCCCTGGCAGGACAAGAAGAGCCCCCCGGCACCTCGCCTTCCCGGGTCAAATGCCCTCTTTGGGGCTATGAAAGACAGGGCTACATCTCCTCCCTTTTCTGCCCCACCCCCTCCCGGGACTGAGATGGGGGAATGGGGCAGCAGATGGCAGCCCCCTCCCCAGTGCCAGCCAAATGGATTCCAGATTCACATCTGGGGGCCTCACCCCTCAGAAGGTGCTGAAAACAAGGCTCTTTGAAGCATCCTAGTCTGGAGCCAGGAGGCCCAGGGACCATTGGGCAGCTCTGACTCCAACCTGGGTGGGCAAACTGGGAGCTGGGTGAGGCTGAGCGCCTTCCCCATCACCCCATCGGTATGTCCCGTCCGCTTTCCCCCCCTGCCCTAGGAGTGGGAAGTGAAGACGGATCCGGTAAGCAGCGTTGCCCAGACAGGCACCCCCAGGCAGACCAGAGCCCACACCCCCAGGAACTGCCCCCAGCTGGGTGACAGAGTGGAAAATCCCGCCCACTGGTGCCAGGAGGTACCTGGGTCCCCTGCCAGAGAGGCTGGCAATACCCAGCTGGCATGAGAAGGCCTAGGTGGGTGGCGAGGCACGGTCTCCGTCCCCCGAGGTGCTGGGCAGTACCTGCTTCACCCGCCCTCTCTCCACCAACAGCCTGCCTCCTGCCCAGGGAGGGTTCGGGCTACTTGATACTCTTCCCTGGGTGGCAAGATCAGAGGGTGCGAGGGCCACGCGGGGCAGGAAACGGCTAGCCGCTGTCCAAGGACTGGCTGGCTGGAAGCAAGCTCGCATGGCATCCCCGCCCTGCCCAAGCCTAGAGCTAAGACAACAGAGACTGGAAAGGAGGCTGAGTGCCAGCTCTGGGGAGGGGGTTGGGGGAGGGGAGTACCCGAGTACCCTCATCCTTCCTTAGGACAGGGGTGACTGGGGCCATTGGGGCAACCTAGGGCCAGAGGGGTTACAACATTTCCCAGAGTGACTCCAGCTAGAGGCTTCCCGGGGCTGACGCCCTCTTCTTTGTGTGCCAGGTTCTGGGCCCCCAGTTTCTAGGACCCCAGCTACCTCCGGGATGGAAAGGAGCTTAGAGAGCATCTCTCTTAATATCCCCATTCTGTGGGCGGGGAACGGAGGGGACCTAGGTCTCCTGCGTCCCAGGCTCTTGGTCTCCACCATATGGGTAACAGCTGGGCACACGAGCACCTGGAGTGGGCTGGGTAACAGCTGGGCACACGAGCACCTGGAGTGGGCTGGGGACTCGGGACTCAGGTCACAAAGGGAAGGGCTGAGGGGAATGGGCGCTCAATCCTGTCACCGTCCCTCCCAGAGATCCCTGGCCGCTGGGCCACACGGGCCACGCCCCCAGAGGGCTCGGACAGCACCGCCCCCAGCACCCAGGAGCCCGAGGTACCTCCAGACCAAGACCCCGTGGCCAGCACAGTGGCAGATGTGGTGACGACAGTGATGGGCAGCTCCCAGCCCGTGGTGACCCGAGGCTCCAATGACAACCTCATCCCCGTCTACTGCTCCATCCTGGCCGCGGTGGTTGTGGGCCTGGTGGCCTACATCGCCTTCAAGAGGTGAGGGGGCGGGGCAGAGAAAGAGACCTTTGCTCTCGAGGTGGGCTTTACTGTGACCGCGACCTGAAAATGCAGACAGACACTCTTTTAACTCAACCCCAAAGCAAGCTCATCCTCACTTAACATCAGCTGCTCCACTCGCGGGCGTGGCAGTCAGCAGGCAGGGAGGGGGACTGCCCCTGTCCTTCCAGGTGTCAGCACCGCCCACTCCCTCCCGCGGCCCCCCCCCCCCAC